CAGCTCCCCGGCCGGGGCAGCGGTACAAGCCTATCTGCCGCTGCTGGGATTTGTGAAACCTCATCTCAAACCCCAGAAGCTAGGCCTGACTTGACCAGATCTTGTGGGCTCCTGCTCACTTCCTCTGGTTTCGCAAGAGTGTCGCTCGATGGGTTTCTATGGAATTGCTCCTGATTTACATCAGCGAGGATGTCAGCTGGCCTCAGGAAGCCCTTGATATCACTGGAGCCTTGCCTGCTGATGCAAGAAGCACAATGTGTTATCTCGCCGAGTGCTCGAAAATCTGAGGTCAGATTTTTGGGTGGTATAAATCATTGTTGCTTCACGGACTTCATGGGAGCTCTGCTGATTTCCCTGTCTCCCCCTCCACCCCATCCCCGACCTTCAAGCTGACAACTATTTTTGTGTGGGAAGCAGCAGATATTTTCCTTCAAGAAGGAGGCACTTACAACATCGTGCTCTGGTTTTGCTTAATGTACCACCCAAGTTGTGAAACAATCAGAGCATCTTTTATCTGCTTGGCCTTGGTGCAGATTCACTGTCCTCTTACACAATCTTCCCCCTGCTCCCCGCTCCGTCTTCTCCTCACCCTTCTCCTAAGACCCGGTGCAGGCAGAGATACTGTGCGCTTTCATCTTCTGCTGACATCAGTGAAGAGGGGGAGTGCTCAGCATCCTGCTGGATCAGGCCTTTTTCCTTTGCGTTGCGGTTAAATCCTCACAAACTTAAAGGAATGCCTTGCTCAGATCTGATTGTGGGTTTTCTTGGCACTTGCCCACAGCTGTCGCCCGAGGAAGAAGAGAAGCGAAGGATCCGGAGAGAGAGGAACAAGCTGGCAGCTGCTAAGTGTCGTAACAGGCGTCGAGAGCTAACAGAGAAACTCCAGGCGGTACGTGCCCTGCATACATTTCTCCTTCCTTGTCGCCCGCCCTTTGGACCAGCTGGAAGGGCATTGCTCTCCCTCCGCTAGCATGTTCGAGGAAGATGCTACAAAACACACGCTGCCTTCCCCTTCCAAGGCTGCCCAGTGGCGTCACTCCTACATCCAACGGTGGTGAGGGCTTGGGTCTGGAGCTCAGGAGCCTAAATTCCTCTTGCTGACTGCCCAAAATGTCCTAGGAGCTCTCTTCCCTTCTAGCCTCCCAACTAGCGTGAGTCTCCCTACCTCTGGTCTCCCTGCATAAGTGGAAATAAAGATGCTGTGTGTCTCAAAGGCAGACTTTAAGGACAAAAGCACTGAAGTCTGTAGGATCATCTGAAAACAGTAGAAAAAGAGGCAGATGTTATGTGTACCTGTGAAAGCTCCATCCTTGAGGCTAACCTTTCTTCGGCAGCGGTAACTGATTCCCTGCGCTAAGGAAGCACCGCAGAGTCATGTGGTCTGGTGCCACAGGGGAAATAACTAGTTAAGCTGGAGAAGGTAGGGATGAGCACAGGAACCGTGGGGTGGTTAAGGGACTGGCTGAAGAGGAGGCAAGGATGGGTTGTGTTGAAAGAGGCTGGAGGGAAGGCTCCAGCACTCCTGCCCAAGAACCAGCCTGGTTCTTAATAAGTCTATGATCTTATTAACAAGCGCAGCAGCAGCAGTGAAAGCACACCAGTGAAACGTGCTGCTGACTCAAATTCGGGAGGTATTCTCAGTGTAGGGGGGGCAGGACATCCTATAGGAAGAATTTAAGGATTGTCATGACTAAAGTAATAGAAGTGAGAGGAGTGCAAAGTGGGAGGTCATATCCTGAAGGACTGAGGGTGAGTTCTTTGTGAAACGGTGAGCTCCTCACACAGGAAGGTACTAATTGCTCACAGATTGACTATGAGCCATCGGTGTGATGTGACCATGGGAAAGGTAAATATATTAATCCTAGGATGCATCAAGGGATGATCCAGTGGAGATGAAAGTGTTAGTCCTTTGTGCAAGTCAGGCAAGTGTGAGACCTAATCTGGAACATGGACCAACAGAAAGAAAATGGAAACAGTTTAGATGCCGCTGTATGCTACCTCTGTCTAAGTGAAAAGAATATGGCCTACCTAACACAAAAAACGATGGGAGGAGATCTGACTCCTCTCTGCTAAGCTGTCTGTCAGGCAGATAGCAAGGGAGAAGAGTGAAATCATAGGCCAAGGCAGAGTGGTAGAAGCTGGCCATGAGAAAATTAAGGCAAGCTCATGAGAGAAGACTATTTATAACCCGTAGATCGGTGAAGTTTGGGAATAGCCTACTGATAGACACATGAAACATAAGATGCTCAGCTGGCAATGACCTGGTGCCTGCTTGGCTCATGAAGAGTCTGGGGTGTATCTGCCCATGCCAGATGGGAACTGGACTTGATGGCCATGTTTCAGGTGAGGAGCAGTTCCAGAGCCTCTGATGTTTACTTATTCCCCTTTTGTCTGCAGGAAACAGAGGTGCTGGAGGAGGAGAAGTCAGTGCTGCAAAAGGAGATCGCTGAGCTCCAGAAGGAGAAGGAGAAGCTGGAGTTTATGCTGGTGGCTCACAGCCCTGTGTGCAAAATCAGCCCTGAGGAACGTCGGAGCCCACCATCCAGCAGCCTCCAGAGTGTTCGGACTGGAGCAAGTGGAGCAGTGGTGGTGAAGCAGGAGCCTGTGGAGGAAGAGATCCCATCTTCCTCTTTGGTCCTTGACAAAGCCCAGAGGTCTGTCATTAAGCCCATCAGCATTGCTGGAGGTTTTTATGGGGAGGAAGCACTCAACACTCCCATCGTGGTGACCTCAACACCAGCCATCACTCCTGGCTCCTCCAACTTGGTGTTCACCTACCCCAACGTGTTGGATCAGGAGTCTCCTCTCTCCCCGTCCGAGTCCTGCTCCAAAGCTCACCGGAGGAGCAGCAGCAGCGGTGACCAGTCCTCGGATTCCTTGAACTCTCCCACCTTGCTGGCGTTGTAATCCCCTTGTGGCCCCCCATTTTGCCAGTGTGTTACATCCCCCCCAGCACCATGGGGGGAGCCCCCCTCCATGGGATTAGAGACAGGCACAGGATCGTTCAAGCACAAGGGCAGCAAGAACAAGGATGGCGAAGGGCTGCAGCTCCAGGAAGGAGAATGAGGACCAACGCCAGCTCCCTGGAGGCAGGAAATGGCAAGGGTGGGACTGACACGCCGGGACTGTTTGGAGAGGGTGATGTCCCCTCTGTAGGGACTGCCTATGGAAACCTCTTCACGGCCATAGTGGACTTGGGGAGCACTCCTGGCCAGGACTGAAGGCGAGCTGCAGGCAGTTGCTAGTCATCCCTTTCCTTTGTGAATTGATCTGATAGGTTGTGCTCTGTGCTTAGATCATTCTGGTTAGTTGATCTTGCAACTTCTCTCTCTCTCTCTCTCTCTCTCTCTCTCTCTCTGCGTGCTTATCATTTCCAATGTTGTCGATCCCATGACATTTCATCCAGTTGCTTTGAACTCTAAAGGCTTTTTAAGATCTTTCCTCTTGGGACAGGCTGTGGGAAACACATAGGGTTGCCCAGGCAGGAGGGCGATGGCTGGGAGGTCTGGGAGAGGGGGGACCAGGAGGAACACGAGGGCTCAGCAACAAGGGCAGAGGTCATACCTCTGGCCTGGGGCACAGCGACAGCAGGAGGCTCACATGGAAGACTTTCTTTTTTAAAATGTAGACACATGTATCCCCTTGGGCTCCTCAAAAAACAAGTTAGCATCTCAGGGCCAAAGTAGCACCAGAAAAGCTGCTGGGCTGGCACTTACCAGTGTCTTTGGCAGGGTTTTACCCCAGTTTGGTGGATATCAAATCTGCTGCTTGTTGTTTACTTTCCCGGGGCTGCCCACTGCCTAGGGAGTGTTACATCTTCCTCCCCATCAGGGCTCCTGACTCAGAGGCTGATCTCTTCCTGTTAGTAAATCCTCCCCTCCCCCTGGCCATATTTGCAGAACATGCTACCGAAAAAGAGGTGGCACCACGTGCCTATAAATCTAGGATGGAGACTGGCAGCGGATAAGAGGGTGAAACTAGCTGGCTGTACCCCTGACTTTTTCATTGTTGGGAAACAAAGCAGCGTACATCCGCCAGTTGATCCTACCGGGTGTTGTTTGCTCAGAGATTCCCAGTTTCTGAGGTTGGGGGGAAGGCAATCGTCCAACCTCCAGCACAGGCCACCAGGCAGGAATGGCATGGTTGAAGTGATGACCTGTTTGACCTAGAACAGAGCTTCTGATAACCTCTGGTTATTGTTGACGAATTGACAGCAGAGGAAAATAGATTACTATTATTTGCACCTCTGTCTTTGGCCTCTGTTTTTTTTGCATTGTAATTGATCCGGTTTTGTTGGGGTTGATGGACCTGAAGACAAAAAACAAATCAGAAGACAATTCCCCCAGCCCTGGGTCCTTGTCTTCTCCAGCCTGTGGGCTTGGCTGCTACTACTAAGTGCTCAGAGGGCACAAGCTCTTCGGCGCTGATGTTCACTACTGAAAACGACGATGTGTGTGACTTATTCCCACTTGGAGCCCAGCTCAATTCCTGTTGATGTCAAGGCACTGACAAACCATGACGATGTGCACAGGAGGATTGCCCAGCTTGCCAGCTAAGCCGCTTAGGGGATAGCTCTTTGGTCCTGCCTGTTGAAGCTGTGGTGGCAGCTATTTATTTTGGTGCGAGATTTTAATGTTCTTTCATTTTTTATTTTTTTTTTAATCAACTGAAACCAGGGTATTTCTTGGTCAGGCTGGACCTGGAAAAATGCAGTATGTGACTATAGGGCCAGTCCTGTAAGATGCTAAACTGCTGCAGTCCCCACCAACTCCACTGGGAATTAATAGGGTTCAGTCATGTGGAACTGGACCTTTACTCAGCAGGGCTGGCTTCCCTCAAACCCTGGCCACTGCCCATTCCTTGAATCATTTCAAAGGGACACTACTTTGGCTCTAAAGATAGGCTTTGCTTTTTTATTATTACCATTATTTTTAAACACAGGTATTTACCAAACCTGCCAGGAATTGAAAGAGATGAGTGATCTTTTTGCTTCATAAAGCTGATTGTGATTCAGGCTTTTTCTTCATTGCTTAAACACTTCCAATCGTAATACCAGTGCTAGAGGTGTCAAAGTGAGCTTACACAATAAGAAAAATTGATAAAGGAGTTCTCTTGTCCTTACATGAACATCAAAACTGCTTTGTTAATAAAGTAGACCTTAAACTTCCTATAGTTAGCCCAGGATCCTGTTTTCATAGGGTTTTATGTAGATGATACCACTTTAGGTGAAACTGCTGCTTCTCTTAACTGTCTTGGTTTTTCCAGGTGCTTGTTTGGGCCGGTCTAGATTGAGAATCTAAAACTATTCAATAAAATGTCTCCGCATATCACTTCCCACCCATTTCTGAGCAGAATGCAACATTAACAAGTAGTGAATCCTAAAGTGATGCAGCTACTTTTGAGGCCAGCTGACCAGGATCACTGTCTCCCGGGAGGTCAGGAGCA